AAAGAAAATCATCAACTGAAATTGGCTGATTCATATAAAATAATGAATTCTATTTTTAATTGCTCAATAAAATAAAAAATCTTTTCAGATGAGATTTAGTGTATGAATATATTTTCTATTCATAATCATGATCTGATTTTTTTTGCTAATTATTTTGTAATGACATTTTCTTGATTGTATAATGAAGGAGGGATGAAGGAAATGATCAGTTAACTGTACAGTTATGGTTTTTCTTTGAATAACTTTGACAGATAAAGCTCTACAAACCACTTCTTTCCTGCTGTATCTGAATATTATGTTGGGACCAGGTTCTAAAATATTCAGGAAACATACTTAACCAGTTTAGAATAGTGTTAGTAAAGACACGTAATGTTTATGTAAAAATAAGTAGCTTTTATTAAGAAATTAATTCCAGAGACAATTCTGTTTAAAAAAAAATCAAGATTTGAGACTTACACTGTTGTTACATCACTTTGGGATGTACTCTCTATAACACCAAAAGAAAAACGCCAGACATTACTTCTTCAGTGATCTCAGTTTAATGTAGCTGATTTACGAGCTTGGCTAAATTAAAGGATAATGCAGGAAAAAGCACTTGTTTATGGTAAATAAAATTCTACTCTACTGAACTGTTGATTAAAAGTGATCATCTATACACTTGTGGGAAAGAAGCAGCCATATGGCCTATGCTGTCAAAAGTTCACAGGGAATCATTTAATTTAGAACTTTGGGAAGTAGTTTGCTTTGTGATGGATTTATGCTGTATATATGAACTCAGGGTGTTCATGCACTTGTTACATTTCCTAGTTTTAGTGCCCTTAGTACTGAACAGAGCAATTTTGCACATAATTGTTTGAAGTTCATCAGAAAAAGAAATGAAAGAGAACCCAGTATCCAATTAAAATAGCAAAGGAAGCACAGGTAGACAGTCTGTATTTCAGGTGAAGTTACATGTTACATTTAGACCATACTAAATCTGTGGAAAGTTGAGTGGAGTTAAAGATGGAACCTCCTGTGAGCAGATGATACTTTTTCTTGCCTGCACAGCTCTTGCTGCTAGAGGGCTGGCAAACATGATCACGGTTGGGAGCCAGGACATCTGAGCTCTGTCTCTGCTCTGGGTAGAGTAGGGGGAAGGGCTGGGATGCTGGAGTACTGCTGATTGCTTGTTTTATCATCATGGAGAAGACTGAAGTTACCCTAATATGATCTAGGTAGCACAGCCCAGAGTTAACCCTTAACAAGCTTTAAAATGCAGATGCTAGCATTTAGAGTGCCCTTAGTATGGTCAAAGTGTTGCATGTTAACTTCACCATATATATCTATATCTATATCTATATATAGATATAGATACGTCAAGTACTGACAGAAAAACTGAGCTGTATTGCTGGAACGAGGATGCTGTGTGCTTCTCCCTCCCCTTCCCCCCCCCCCCCC